GCGAGTCACGAGGTAGCGCAGCGCGTGCCGACGATCACAATTTGTTTCATTATTTCCTTACTGCCTCTCCCCTCTCTCTCCCACCCACAAGAGCCATGGTCAATCCGCTGCTGGTGAATGCTCCCTCTCCACCCCTTGCAATGTCGACGCGAACTCGTGATCCCCAGATGTTTCACAATCCACCCTTGCAATCCGCTCAAAGCAAAATAAAAGAAAAATATAAAAAAAAAATTATATTTTTCTTTTACAAAAAAAACCTCGATATTTCAAGAGCCGCAATGCTTTGTGTGGTGAATACGAGACTGTGGTGGTGGTGGTGTTGGTCGAGGTTGGTCCTTAATAAATAACATCGCTAAGCCCTAAGAGAGCCACCGCATGCGACTCAGGGGAGGCAACGGGGGCCGACCCCCAGGACTTAAAGCGATATCCTGCACTCATCCCCTGCCCCTCCTCGCAGAACTTGGGATCTACCTCGAGCCTGACTTGACGATCGTCATCATCGTCCACTGCTAGATGATGAACGCCTCTCACACATCCAAGCCGCAGCAGTCTCCCACGAGCCTACGAAGCGGCAATGAGTCACGGGCAGGAGAGACTTCAACTAAAAAAAGAAACACATCCATAATAAAGGTTTAAATGCGAGTTAGAGCGCGTTTACGCCAACCCCCAAAAAAAAACCTATATTGTGGATGATATTGGTCGCGAACGCCTACGTGTTGAACTAAAAATAAACACATTTATTTTGCCAGGTAAGGTCCGCTGAGTGATTAGCTTCTTTTTCAGAAGCGACCTTTGGTCATCACAAGTGATAGCTCCACCACGCGGTTTGTCATCGTGGGCATTTCTAGCAGTCGCCAAATACTCTGAACGCGTGACATTGTTTCTAAAAAGTGGAGGGGAAAAAAAACCGGAGGACTCGGAGAAAAATCCACGCGACCACGGGATGAGAGAGACGCAAACTCCAAACATACAACAAGCATCAGGGTCGGGATCGAACCCCCCGACCTCCCGTATACCAGGCGAGGTAGTTAACATCTCACCACGGGAGAGAGAGACACGCAAACTCCAAACATACAACAAGCATCAGGGTCGGGATCGAACCCCCGACCTCCCGTATACCAGGCGAGGTAGTTAACATCTCCTAGCCACCGTGACGCACAGAGACGGACTGTGGTCGAGACTAACGACAGAATGGCAGCCAAAGGCTGGAGCGACGTACCTCCATCCCTGGAGATGGAGCGACAAAATCGATTTGCGTGCGTCTGTGCGGGTCGGGGGGGGGGGGACTGATCGCGTGACCACAGGGAGGGTGGCGACGATTCGAGGATGGGGTGCGGTGCAGACGCCTTCATCCAGCAGTGGATAGATCATGGCTCATGACGACGACAAGTTGGAAGGAGGTGGTTGGTGGCGTCAGAAACCACCCGTGGTCACACACTGGCTCGTAGCGTGAGAGAGACACTTCTGCAATGTACGGTACTGTATGTACAATCTTATTCAACAACCACAACGACTGGGACACACACAGATAAAGATCTCCCGCGTAGCCTACACAGGCTGCTTGGGGAAAGTGCTGTTAGTGAGCACCTCCGAAGGCCAGAACGACCCAGAATCATGTCCGGCCATCTTTGTCTCCCAAGTTCTGATGGGATATTTTAGTTTCACTCTCGATTTGAAGGAGCTTTCGTGACTGCAGTAATCCATTCTCGTGACTTTACCGAAAGAACCAAGGAGTAAATATTGTGGTTTGTTTTACACACGGTACTCATTTAAGGTCGAACTGGCCTAGTGGAGACCCAAAACCGGTTGACCGATCCATCACTGATGTTGGCCGTGAGCGAATTGGGAACTTGGATGGGCCGGTTCGTTACGCAATCGCGCTAACCACTGCGCCTCCGCTCCCCACGACACAATAAAGAGCCCCCCCCCCCACCACCACCGTATAGGCGTACCAGACTTTTCGGGCAAGTGCTGTTATCACGAGGTACGGTCACCACCAGGGCAGGCCGCATTTGCGATTATCTGAACCGGTTCCTGGGCCTCGCCTAGGTCGACTCAGCCTCCAATGAGCAAAACTGGTCCGGCGTGTAAAGACCGCCACTGGGTGAAACAAAGGCGTGCGTGCGTGTTGGGCCACCCACACCCTCGTGTTCCGTTCCGGCCCATCAAACGTGCTCGCTCCACACGAGAACACACACACACGTGCGCCACAATGTAACGCTTTAATTATATTTGCCTGCGGTGGATTGCTTCCTACACGCCTCTAAAACGTGCGTTCACTAAATGAAGGGCATTCGTGCAAACGCTACGCGTCATGTGAAATGCTCCGAGGCGCATTATTTTTAATGACAAGTGCGCTAAGTAAATAAAGACCGATATTATAATAGGGCCCATCAGCCATGGTCAATCCACTGCTGGATGAAGGGCCCCCCACCCCTCGCACCTCCCACCCCCCAAGTCACCGCCACCTCGATTATTACGAGCCATACGATGCACTTGCAGCACCCTTCCACGTGAACGGATTCACAGACACGAAACCGGAATGAATAAGTAGCGCTGGTTCGCTGTAAAATGGGCTCGATTTGATCTTCATGGGTGGAACGGAGTTTTGTTAAGAACACTGAAACACCGGGGGGGGGGGGCATCACCAATCCGGTCTACGATGTCGAGGGAGGGGGGGACACTGCTGCTGTGTGTACATGTGGCCCAATTATCCTGCGGTGAAAATGTAACTGCAATGGAATTTGTCAAACCAACAGTTACCCCACCCACAGTACCACCACCGTAACACCACCCTACCACCACAGTACTACCACACCACCACAGGACCACCACACTTTCACCACCACAGTACCACCACCGTAACACCACACTTTCACCACACTACCACCAACACCACACTTTCACCACCACAGGACCACCACCACAATACCACCACCACAGTACCACCACACTTTCACCACACTACCACCAACACCACACTTTCACCACCACAGTACCACCACCCTACCACGACCGCACTGCTCCACTGTGGAATTCCCTCCTCCCATCACCACCGAGGCTTTGCAACACAAATAGCGTCGCTCAATCCAAGATCCCCATTACACTCGTTGACGCCAGTGCCGTTTGTTGCTGGACGCTCGGCGTTTTGTGCATTTTGGGCCCCCTGCGCTCAGCAAACCGTGATATTACATAAATAAACATTCAACTACACAGGAGCCTCCTGATACAAGCGGTCCAGAGACACTCAATGGAGGCGTTCCTTGACCGATAAACGGCATGACTATGAAATATTGTTGGGAGTGGAGTGGTGGCGTAGCGATCAACGCAGGCCACTGCCAACCCAAACACCCGAGTTTGATTCCTGGCCACGGCCACCATATGGGTGGCGAGTGATACCTGGAACCGATGTTTGGCTTCCCACCCACCCACATCCACAAAACCGGCACTGATCAGTGTGGTGAAATATGGTCAAGAAACTCCCACGACCGAGGAGGTCTTCATCCAGCGGTAGATTAATGCCTATAAATTGACATTGCTGTAGTTATTTTATGATGTTTTATTTTTATTATTTTATTACTTCCCTTCTACGTGACTTTACCGCATGAACCAAGAAGATGAATCCCTGCAGTCACGAAAGCTTTAAATCGAAAAATTGCTGTAGTTGGTTTTGCTATTAAATCACATACGGTCATGAATACTCAACGCTTAAGAATGCTAAAGTTGTCCCATAGTCTGGCTCGGTGCACCGCTCACCGCCGCTTGGCATCAGATGAAACGCACCCCCCCCCCCCCCCCCCCCGTGAGTCAGAGATGTCAATTCTAAAAAAAAGAACTGGGGACATTTAAATTCAGATATCGTGGCCCTGCCGATAACGGGGAAAGAGGCCTTCAATCCAGCAGTGGACAGAGCACATCCGCTGCCAAATCGGCAGCATGAGGTCGGTTCAGCATTGCACAAAAAGCGGCGTCGCCTTACACCCGCAGGAATTATCCAAAGTCACCATCGCTCCATCTCCTCGATGTCTCGGGGGGCATCGCTCCCAGCCCCGTTCTCGCCCGCCCGCTCGCCCTTTGTTCTGCCACTCCACAGTTCGTGGTCTCGGACCACATCACTCGGCCATTGGACAGGGTGCTTCAAAAACACGTTCACGCTTCTGAGAATGTTTTTTTTTCTTTCTCAGAAGCAACAACACCACAATAATTGCGCTGTCCTCCGGGTTCTGGGGACAACCTGGAGAAGATTCCGTGCACGCGTTGACAATGAAAGCGGACAAGTGGACACACTGACTTGTTGAAGCTATTAACACTACATTTGTTATCATGTTACAGTGCAGTATCCGTTTTTTTTCCATTAAAAACCATCGTCCCATATAAAAGTGTTAACATTTGTTTTGAAGCACGCTGTTCAATCAAGCACCTACCGTGCGAAATAGGTCACACAGTCTGATTGCACGGCAGCGCGCATGCCATCCACGGCGTCCCCCCCACACACACACACACCACTCTTCCTGCCCAACTGTAATCGCGACCGACGTTTCGAGAGTTACTCCGCGAGATGCGTTCGTTCGCTCAACGTCGAGATCTGCTCTCCGCGGCGAGAAGGGTTCTCGTGGCAGTCGTGGCAGTCGTAATAATAACGACGCACGGCAAAGCCCCTTTGTCAGTCCGCTCGCTGCTGAATGAATGTCTCCCACCCCAAAGCCACGTGGTGGATAATCACGTGGCGGCTGTACGACCATACTTCACCACGCCGGCTCACAGCTCGGCGCAACAAACCTAACGCAGCCCCTCGTACAAACCCCCCCAAAAGATTCCCAAATCGAGGTGTGGGATTATATGGGGGGTTGTTTGACCATACTTCACCATGCAGGCACACCCAACCCAACCCGCAGCTTACAACCCACATCGCCCCCCCCGACCCACCACCGAAATCAACTGCCTCCTCCTCCCTTCCCCATCCCATTTCTCCACCACCCACCCCAATAAAAAAAACTTACCGGCAATGTCCCATAGCTGGAGTCGAACCAGGGTGTCGGCATCCCAGGTGAGGACTTTGAGGGCGAAGTCGACGCCGATGGTGGCGCGGTAGTTGTGCGAGAACAGTTGGTGCACGTATCGCTTGATGATGCTCGTTTTCCCGACGCCCAACTCTCCGATCACCAGCACCTTGAACAAATACTCCTTCTTGTCTGTCGCCATGTCTTACCGACTCTCACAGCGCATGCTCTCTCTTGTTTGGTTTGCGTTTCCTGTCTCCCGCGGGCGCGTGCTCCGTTTGATGTCGCGATCTATTTTGGGGTTTTTTTTATTGTTTGGTTTCGAGACGACGTTACAAATACGCGGTGATCGTCTCGTCCGGCTCCCACCGCCCAGGGCTACGCCACCAAACGAAATCAAAGCAACCACCGTGAGGCTTGCGTCGACGATGTTGCTAGAGATGTGATTTTAGTGGCGGTGGTGGTGGTGGGCCCTCCACACACACAAACACACAAACACACCGGCCGGAATCTCACACCGTCCACCACCACCACGAGTTGTTGCTGCGTCTTGTTCTTGGCTGGTGTTCAAAGCTCAGAGCCGCCCTCCAGCAACGAGCAGAAGAAGTAGAATATTAATGATACTCAGAAGATGACCGGCTGGCTATCGGGGGGAGCGGAGAAGAAGTTTTCGCCCGATCGTGGTGGTGGTGGTGGTGGCAGTACCCGTGGCAGGCGAAAAGTGTAGCGAGTGCGGAGATGGAATAAGAAGGGCGTGGAGTCGGGGGGTAGGGGTGGTGGTGGTGGATGATCGTGGGTGATGATGAGTGACGGAGGAGAGAGTTGTGTGTGTGTGTGTGTTGGGGGGGGGTGGTGGTCGTGGTGGGGGTGTGGTTGGATTAAGCCAGATCAGCTGATGCCCGTGTGAGTGGGGGACGTGAAACGAAAGCGAACCGGCAGTACCGGTTGTGGGTGTTGCGGGAACTGCTGCTGCTCATGATGCTGATGGTGGTGGTCCGCCCTCCGACACTGCACTGCACCCAGTGCTTTATTTCTGAACTGCACCGAGTGCGGCACGCCGCGCCGAAAACAGGGCAAACACTTACCCTGTTCTTGGTTCTTTCGGTAAAGTCACGTAGAAGGGAAGTAATAAAATAATTAAAATAAAACATAGTAAAATAACTCTCACGACGTTTCGGCCACAACGCATGCAGCCGTCCTCAGGTGAAACGTCGTGAGAATTATTTTATTATGTTTTATTATTTTATTACTTCCCTTCTACGTGACTTTACCGAAAGAACCAAGAAGATGAATCCCTGCAGTCACGAAAGCTTTAAATCGAAAGTTGCCCTGTTTTTAAACTCGGACTTGAATTCGCACTGCACTGGTCAGGAGCGCCCCCCCCCCAACTCCGTGTTGTTTGTTTGTTGTTGTTAGTACACTGAACATGTGCGTACTGTGTTATGTAAGTAAAACAAGGGGGAGGGGGTGTGGTGGGGGAGCGGTGGCGCAGTGGTTAGCGAAATGCGCCCTGAGCCCGACGGCCTGAATTGGGTGACCGGTCACGGCTCACATCAGTGGCGAGTGACGTAGGCCGAGCTTGTTTTGGGTCTCAATCAGTCATGCCATACCCAGGAGCGGTGGCTATGAGATGTTAACTACCTCGCCCGGTGTACAGGAGGTCGTGGGTTCGATCCCGACCCTGGCGCCTGCTGTATATTTGGAGTTTGCGGTGTCTCTCTCTCTCATCATCATCACGGTGGCTATGAGATGTTAACTACCTCGCCCGGTGTACAGGAGGTCGTGGGTTCGATCCCGACCCTGACGCCTGCTGTATATTTGGAGTTTGCGGTGTCTCTCTCTCTCTCTCTCATCATCATCACGGTGGCTATGAGATGTTAACTACCTCGCCCGGTGTACAGGAGGTCGTGGGTTCGATCCCGGCCGTTTCATTGTCTATTTCTATCTAGAACACCGACCTGCCGTGTTCTCTTTCCAATTACAAGTTGCTTATCCTACACACCCAACACGGCCGTTTATATTGGTAGGAACCTCCTGGTTACACCAGCCCACAGGGGATTATTGTGCCCGTCGTGCAGGGAGGGGCTGGTTGGGGAGGGGAGGGTGGGAGGGTGGGGAGGAGCTGGGTGGGGAGGGTGGGGAGGAGCTGGGTGGGGAGGGTGGGGAGGGTGGGGCTGGGTGGGGAGGGGAGGGTGGGGTTGGGTGGGGAGGGGAGGGTGGGGCTGGGTGGGGAGGGGCTGGGTAGGGAGGAGCTGGGTGGGGAGGGTGGGGCTGGGTGGGGAGGGTGGGGCTAGGGTGCAGAGGGTGGGGCTGGGTGGGGCTGCGTGGGGGTGAGGCTGGGTGGGGCTGGGTGGGGGTGGGAGGGGTGGGGCAGGGGAGGGGCTGGTCACCCCGTGGTGCCCATATAAAACTCAACGTTTAACCTACTCACGCCGGCTTGTGCCCGCCCTCACAGTCGGGCATATTTGCGGAATACACCACGCCGCCGTTGACCCTGGCCATTGACCGAGCAAACCAACGTTGCTACCAGCTCCCTCCGCAAGAATGTGTTTTTCACAATCCTATAAAGAGTCGTCCCTCGGAGTACGGCGACGTGGGGCGACTGCCCTGGGCCCCTATACCCCCCCCCCCCCCCCGCATGGAAGGGCCTGATCCTGTCTACCACACTCGCATGCCGTGTGACAGCCTCTTGTGAACCTCTGCATGGCTGATCCTGCTTTGCCACGTGATTCCCGGCATCCATGGGAGGCGATTAATGATCACAAGCTCGCGTATCCGGGCGACACGACCAGAACCACAATACGGAATTATCGATTTCAAAACAATAACAACAACAAGCACGCAAAGAGGCACATCCCCGTGTAGTTTAAAACGAGTTTAATTATCATACAAAACATCGACGCTTTTAAAACGATTCCGTTTGGCCCACGCAATCACCGACACCGTCGTCGTCATCACCATCAACGACATCATCATCATCGTCACCACCGGCACGAACACATCAACGCGATGAAATTTAGCCTCGAAGCAGCCCACGACGAAAGTGTGGGAGGAGGAGGAGACAAATTATAATATACTTTTCAAAGAAATCTCTCCAAACATCAACGACGCGATTAAATTATTATTATTATTAAACGTAAGAAGTTGTTCGTTCGCAGTTGTACATCTCGAAATAGCGATTTGTTTAAATGTACGGTAAAAAGTAAAGACGCGACAATTCACGCGCACGTACACGCGCACACATACGCACGCCACTTTGCAAAAATGACCTTGTGCACGAAGTCACAGCTTAGCCATCACACCGACGTTTTGATTTATTCCTGGTTTTTCCTTCTAAGTGTTATATATATATATATTTTGTTAAAAAACAATGTTTTCTATAGTCCACGACGTACACACACAGCTGCCCCGCTAGGTAAAGCCTAGATAGTTTTTTTAAGTATGAAATACCAAAAAAAAGTTAACTTTTGGAATTCTGATATGAATAAATATGTTGTATCTGGATGATGATGATGATGATTACGACAATAATATTCATGTCAATTATTTACCAACGAAAAGCTGCAACGTGGCTTTTCAGCCGCGGCCGTCGAGAGACGCATACTGGATGTGGTGTGCCGGGTGCAGACCCCACTCCGGACAGAGCCATCTGAAATGATGCACTGGGGAAACATCCCATCGTGGTGATAGCAATGTCATTTACTCGCCCCGGGACTCGTTTCCACGAGGGTGCTTGCCACATTGGGGATATTTCGCCAATGAATTCCGCGAGTAGCCAGAGTTTGGCTCCGCGCATGGGAGGAAAAAACCCGGAGGGACCCCGTTAAAAAACCCCCAGCACCGCCATCTCTTGGCCACCACCACCTCACTGCAGCCCCGTGTCGACAACACCTGACAAGCCCCTGGTGGAAGGTGCTGGTGGTGGTGGTGGTGCTGGTCACCCAGTGGGGAGCGGTCATGTAGCGGTTAGCGCGCTGCGCTACGAACCTGGCGAACCAGGTTCGATTCCCGCTCACGGCCAACACCAGTGACGATTATTTGAACCGGCACTGGGCCTCCCCTAGGTCGGCTCAGCCTCAAATGAGTACCGGGTGCGGTGTGTAAACAGCGCCACTGGGGAGACAAAAGCGGCCGGGCGTGGTGCTGGCAACCCACCCCCTCGTGTGCCGTGCCGGTCTTCATAGGCGCTACTCGCTAACAGCACTTGCCCCAACAGTCTGTTAAGGCTATACGGGGGGTCTTTGTGGTCACGCATCCGGCTAATCAACCAGGTTAAAACGCCGGCTTTGCTTGTGAAATCTGGCGAGACCGGCTGCATTCTGGAAGACTTGGTCACCGATGTAAGTGTTGTTATTACGACTCATTTGTGCGTAACACACGCGATTTGCACAAAACGTTTGGGCAACCGGGGATGGAATTGAGCTCGTGGCGCGATGCCTTCTCCTGTCTGCGGCCAAACTACGGCCACACCAGCCCCGTCTCCCGTGCGAAGCGAGAGAACCCCGCTGGCTGGAGGCCGCAGGAATGAGCAAAGCATTCCTTGCCTACAATCACTGAGCAGGACCCTCCTGAAAATCAGGCTCGAGACTCAGCCAGGCCATCCTGGCTGAGCACGTGTTACCATAACAACAACAATAACAACTAATTATACAAATCCGGTTGACTTTAATCATGTGATGATTTGCCGAAGAAACTGCCTTGGTTTTGTCAAAACTCAAAGTAAACAATGTTTATTTTTATTTTACAAGGTAAGATCCCTTCTGAGCGATGCGATGTATCTCTTTTTCAGAAGCGACTGGCCTTCACAAATGATAGCTCAACGAAGTGGCTTATCATCGTGTGGAAATGTTATCGCAGCCGAATACTCCGAATGCGTGTTTCTAAATATGTAGGGAAAACACCAGAGGACCCGGAGAAAAAAAATCCACGCGACCACGGGGAGAGAGACACGCAAACTCCAAATATACAGGCATCAGGGGGTCGGGATCGATCCCTCGACCTCCTGCATACCAGGCGAGGTAGTAAACATCTCGCCACCGTGGTTAGTTGGTGGTGGAATAATTGTGGTGCTCACAGCTCCATAAGAATGAAGGGCGTCAACGTTCATCGTTGAAAATCCATCGTGCAAAAAACATCATCTCGTCACTCCATTGCCAGCCACCCAGACCTACCATCCACCACTCCACCACCCGCCTCGCTATCCACCACCACCACCACCGCTTCCACTAATTCCAGATGAAACGTAACCATTTTAAAATATATGATATATACTTGTGTTACAGCAGTGATCGTGGCGATCGTTCTGAAGAATTCGGTTGAAGGCGGCTCTTTAAGTGCATGGGAAAAAGTTTTTGGGAGCAGCATCAAAAACCGCTCCTGACATTCATCGACCTAACCGAGGCATCTGACTCCCCTCAACCGGGAAGCCCTTCGGAGTGTCCTCCAACGTCTCGGATGTCCGGAGAAGCTCTTCACCATCCTGCAGCTCCGGCACCACCACATCCCCGCCACCCTGTCGAGTAGCGGGGATCTTAAACGGACTCCTTTCAGATGCGAACGGGTGTCAAGACAGGCTTGTATGATCGCCCCCACCTTGATAATTGTTTTTTTACCCTTCTATCTGGCAACAAAACTGACACCTTTTTTACAAGGAGTCGTGTTTGCATAGACCACAATACCTGCAGTCGTAATGCAAACAAAAAACATAACTCTGATGATATATGCAATGTCCTTGAAGTTGATTGGTCTACACCCGAGACAGCTTTCCTTAGAGCCTAGTCTCACATGGTGTTGGACCAGATGACGCCAAAAGGCGCACAACTCAAAGACAATGCACCATCAGAATATGAGCGC